CCATTCTTGTTTGCACTAATGAAAAATTTGCTTGGTTTAAATTAAAAAACAAAATCTTAAACCATGAAAAGAAATTTGAAGAATTCAATTAAGGTAGTTCTTCCGTCAAACCACTTTTTGACAGTTTTTGTTAATTTTTTTTTTTTTTTTGACAGTTTACAAATAACGTTTATTAATAAATTTCGAAGTTTCAGAATTTTCGATCGTTTAGAAAGCAAGATATTTAATAACAAAATCAGCGATTTTCAGACTTACTTCTCATTTAAAGCATGTAAAACTCTTTGACTACTCAAATATTTTCAGTTATATTAAAAAAATTCCTCGATTTCAGAATTGAAAAGAAACTAACAGAATTAAAAAGAATAATTTATTGATTAATTAATTAATTAATTGATTAGTAAAAAAAAAATCTGAAAAATGGTTGACCGGCAGGCCATCCCTAGAACTTTCCGCTTTTTCGAGCTTGAAACACTCGAAAATCTCCTTATTGGTTGATTTTGAGCTCTTCGAGGCATAGCTCCACTAGGGCCTAAAAATCATGTTTCCTATCTCGTCAAGAGAAATTGTATTTTTAATTCATAAACCTCGTACAAATGTTTAAAGAAAATACACTGGTGGTAAGAAGAATGATTACTGAACTAATTAAAAACACTGCTTAGTAAATCCTATTATATAAAATTGATGATTGAACTGAAGTTAGTTTAGTATCGAAAATCTCGAAAAAATAGTTACTGATTCCTTATTGGTTAGGATTAAAGCGTGCGCGTATGCGCACAATTTGAATTCCTAGTTAATTATTAATTTTAGTGAAAAAACCCGTTTTTTTTAAACTTTAGTGGAAATAACTGTCAAAATATGGTGGTGTGGCCAAGAAAACAAAAAAAAAATATACAATTTTAAGACTCATTTTTTTTTTCAGCTCTGTCATTAAACTTTAATGAAGAACCCTATGCAATATCAAAGCTTGACATTGCTTCATTTAGTTGTAATTAAAACATATTGATTGGCATTCACACCGAATTTTCTTATTTTGGTCGGCCATATGTTTTATTTTTTTAGTGAACAGAGTTCTCACAGTGACTCTGCCACCGAGCTAACGTATGTATGCGTATCGACTTGTAATATAAGTAGTTGATATAATAACGGAACAAGTGAGGGCGTTTTATTCGCATCATAAATAATTACTGTACGCAGGAAATTAAAAAAATTTAAATAACACACGTATGACATGAGCGCTTAAGGCATGCGCATTTGGTTTCACCTAACTTTTTTTTTTTGATGATTTTTTTTCAATTTATTTCGTTTGGAAAATCCAAAAATCTTTTATAAAAAAATCAATTTTGGACCTTTTATCTTCGAATGACTTTTAAATATCAATACAAATTGTTTTCTTTCAAAGTTGTTTAAGAAAACTACTTATTCACGTCTGATGTAGTCGAACGGCACCTTTTTGAATTAACAAATTATTATTTTTCAAAACTAGTATAAATTTTGTCGACAAAGTAAACTGATAGTTTAATTATTTATTCAAATTGAAACAAAAAAAAAAGTAAAGTTGATGGAAGTTCTTGATTGGAGCTAATCAATTTACATGATGGGATTCAATTAGCTTGAAAATTTGAATTTCATCCGAGGGGATGATTAAACATCGGCAAGCATGTAACGAGACTGAGTATAAGGAAATTCAACACCTAGTGATTAGCACCGAGGAGCAAGAGTTTGAACGAAACTCCAAGCTCGGGCGAGATAACGTGAGCGATCATTGCTGTTTGAGTTTTATCTTAGCACGCAAATAATCGACTAGTTCTAAGCGCTCGTGAATTATTTATTTAACTTTTGCAAATTAAAAGTTTATTAAGTACTTTAATTGAAAATTTTTGAAATAATATACATTATATCCTTTTCACTAATTTTAAATTTTACAATGACATTTTTCTGTAATGAGATATAAAATAAGTAGCTTCATATTATGCGTTCACATGACCAAAATGGGATGATAAATCAGGTTGAAAAAATTTCAATACAAGTCGAAATATCCGATCAGGCGAAATTTGATAAACCGTGAAGACCTTCAGAGACGGAAACAGTGTAGAAGGACGTAGTATGTCACCGGGAATGCAACAAGTTGCCACCCTCTGTGCACTCCTCTCTATCTGTCTCTTATCACTTTAACCTCTTCTCGCAAAAGCATTGCTGTCTAACTGTTGTCGCGTAATTTACAATTCAATTGTTGTTTCATTAATGTACTTGCGAGCTAATGTTTAATAGACAAAAATAACTGAACTGATAAATTACTATTTTTGTAGTAATAATAATGCAATTAAAATGTTCTTTAGCTCGGTTAAATATCAACCTCATTAGTGGACTTATTTTAAGACCACCAGTCGGGTTTTATTTAATTAATACTCAAAGCTTAACGCCGCTTATCACTCAGAATTACATCAATTTTTTTTAAGACTTGTTAATTCAATTACTTTAATGACAATAACAATGTCGATTTGTTTTTTATTTTTTAATTTAATTATTTTCAGAAGAGTTTTAGGGACGCGATAGAAGTTACTTTCGTGCAACTCGAAAACTTTTTTACCTCCTAAATTTACCTAACGCAAAAAGGTGCTACGACATAATTTAAGTCCTTAGCTCATAAATTCAGTGAATAAATAATAACTGCACTCAAACATAATCCGCAATGCAAGACGTTGACGTTAATACTTAGCCGGGAACATTTTAATAATTTATAACTACTTAAGGGATTTTAATTTAATTTTTTTTTTTTGATTGTCATTACTTATTAGAGTTTGCTGTTAACTTTAAACAGCTTATTTTTAATTATGTAATTAACATTGATGTAAATGGTTTTAGTAAATAAATTAAGATTATAATCAAAATTATAATTAAAATTAAAGTTATTTATTTGACTAATTATTGCATGCCTTAAGCGCGAAGCGCGCAGGTATGCTCTACTCTCGCCTAAAAATCGTGATTTCGTTTAATACGTGATTTTAATAATTTAAACGAAAACAATCCCATAATAAAATTGAGATGAAATGTATGTGAAACCAATCTATTCGTGATGTGATTGGTTGAAAATATTTATTCTCATTCTGATTGGTTGAAAGTGAATATAATATACATAAACAACACATAAATATATCATGACAATAAATATGAGGCGCGCGCTTGCGCGCGAAAATTAAATTCTAGTTATGGATAAAAAGCATATTGAAATAAATAATAGTAACTATAGAACACATTAAAAAAATTTTCTCATCGATTAAATAAGATTTCTCAGAAAAAACTCGTTTTTCTGATGAGTTAAATGAATAAGAGCGTGGTATTCACGGAAGCTATGGGCTTGACAACACCACAACTTTGTCAAAAATCACTTTCACGATTTAATTTTTTTTCTGTTTTATTCCTGAGGAAGTTTATCAAAACCCTTGTGAAACTTGCGTGTCAAAATAATTCCGTTTCGATACAGTTAATTTTTTTCGATTGCCAGTTCGGTGACTTTTTCTGCAATTTCGGCGGCCATATGTATTATTTTTCATAAATAGAATTGAAATAACTATAAACAAGCAGAAACTATACATACATGCTGGTATAATTACTAACTGTTTTATCATCTGGTAAAATTTTTTTTTAGTTCGACCTACAGAGGGCATAATACTACTCGCGGGAAAATTCAAATTAAAAACGAATAATTTTTGTTATGATCTAAATACTTTATGTATGACATGAGCGCTTAAGGCATGCTCATTTGGATTTTCCAAACTTTTTTTTTATTTTTTTGGTTAAGAATTTTCGTAGAACAATTTGTAGACTTTCATTTCCGTACAAAAATTTTAATTTTTTTTTTCTTAATGAAATAACTAATCAATTACCATATTGAAATGATAAAAAAATGATAGTACAATATACAGCAATTCACGAATCAGATTTATTGATAGTTAATATCTCTAATTGATATGAGCAGTAAATTATTTAAATAGGATTATAATTAACTTGATTGAATATAATGAACCTAATCGATGGATCGAAATAATCTCCGAGCGAGTCAATTAGACTGATTAAATATAATTAGATATTATCTAATTAATTAAACGTATTCAGTCATCGCATTGATATACCTATCAAGAATAATAATATTAAAAAATTGCACATGATATTTGAATTAAATAAACTTAAAACTGAATTACTTGACAATAACTTATATTATGAAAAAGTGAAAATATGGAGTTTAAGTCAGACTTGAAACCCGCATTCAAGACTCTTGAGGTTTTCCGTAGCACTCGGCATAATCTCAATCTCAGTAAACATTACTACCGAGATTTCATAAAGTTTTGCGAAAGATTCCAACTTCTTAGAAATTCATCCCAATATACTCTTTAAGTTTCTTGTGGAAATACACACATACATTTATAGCTATAAAGATATGCAGATATTGATATATAAAAGCAATACGATATTACACAATATATATTTTTCAAAAGTTGCGTCCTAAAAAGATAAATAAAAGTTTAATCTTACTACAGTCAATAAAAAGTATTTGTTTAAATAAAATAATTTTTAAAATTTGATTCAATTTTTCTTGAATAATTAATAAAACTTTATTTTGCCTCATCATAGAGCAGTATAGGTAATATACTATTCAAGATAAAAATATGTATAAAGTTTAATTGGGTAAATATGTTGAATATTTATTATAATTATATTTTTGATTTCTAGGTTCGATATTTCATTTCATGCAAAACATTATCAGCAATATACGCAACATATTGCCTAAGTTGATGACGGTAAAGAGCGATCCGCACTAATTATTTGATTGAAAATTTTTCGCTTGTTTGTCATGGAATTCTCTATGTATCCGGTAGCAACGGCATCCGATTTTCAACCCCCATGCTGTTTGATAGTGAGTAGAGAAGCTCCGGAATCGGCCAACAGTGTTGTAGATGTACGACGAAGGCAGTGACTTGTGTATTTCTCAGCATCTGGTAGTCTTAACATAACAGAGCTATGGTTTTAGGAGCTTGAGCAATCGAGTTTTTCCCAAAGACTTGACGTATGCATGCAACGCGATGATATTGTAAGAAAAATCTGTCTGTTCTTGTGTCCTTAGGTCTGAGAGCCGGGTATTGACGAATTTTCTCACGAAATTCAAGGCCAATCACAAATGTCCAAAGATATTTACTTTTCGTTTTAAGAGCAGTTACAATCAGCTGGGTGCCCGTATCTTCGACATTTTGTGCTGCTAAATCACAAATTTCTTGACCTCTAATTGCCCCAGATACTCCGAAAATCGCAATAACCTAAAATATAATTTCAATAAATACTTGTAATTATAATAATTTTATGTAAAAAAATAAATAGTTATTTAATATCTACCTTCTTGGTTAAATAAATATAATCAGGAGCTTCATTAATAAACTTTTTAAATTGACTCCATGATAGTACTTTGGATTTTTTGGAAACATGACCTTTAGAGAAATTTTTGATTGAAGTTTTTAATTTGGCGTATATATTAATATGAATGTACCAACCACCAAGAGTAGGGACTAGGAAGTGGGGACTGACTGGGACTTAACAAGGGGAAGGTTGTAACCTTGGTTGATTCTTCAAGGATGAGATTGTCGGATTTTGGTGTTCAACTATTATTTATTATAAATATAATTTTTCTATCATAGTTGCTATGGCGAATTACTAAGGGTAAATGGATGTTATGCTGGCCGTAACAGTATTTTTCAATTGAAAATTTTATATCTTGAAAGAAGACTAAAAATTCGAAGAGAATATTTTTCTTGAACCAAGTAGGTTTTTTTTTCAGTGTATACACTAATTAAAGGTTACACATGCGAAGCGCATTATGTATTCTAGTGTTAAAAAGCCCATCTAATTTTTGTTTTCTAAGTCAAAATGAATCTTCAAATCAAAAAGTTATTTCCGATACCATCATAGTTCGTTTTTATTTTTTTTTTTCTATCACTAAACTATCAGTTAATCCGTTTATAGGTTGTAGACATGTGGTCATAAAAAATTTCTGAATACTATGATCGATCGGATTCCAAACCTAAAAACTAAACAATTTTAAGCTCGATCAGTAAAAAGTCTCAATACAAGAATTGTCTACCGCCGAGCTAGCCGAACTTGCAATTTTTTTGCTATCATTCGTATTATGATTTATTTCCCGACAAAATCTTATTACGTCTAATGCTGCGAAGAAAAAAAGTTAAGACGGCTTTAGATTTTAATGCTATTAATATAATTAATGTCTGTCGGTATTTAAGATTATTTGATAATCCTCTATTTATAGATATAAATATACATATTTACCTACAGTACCTGTTCATTTATTGATTCGTATATTTATGTTGTGTTTGTAAATACAAGTTTAGATATATAAATATATATAGCTGTTATACTTAGTTAGTGAATGTATAAATATATGTATAAACATCAAAGCAGATCCTGTGATATGGAACTCAGTTATTGCATTGAAAGCTCATCTTTCAATTTACCAACGACCTACTCTCAACGCTCAATTCAATGTATACATAGGTTTAATGTTTGCATATATAGAGTTGAAACATGAGGTTCCGAGTTGAATATAGACTAGTATTTGGAGCAGCAACTGCATCAGTTTAAAACTCCATCTTCAAAATTCCAAACTCGCGGTATTTTCCGGACTTGTGTGCGATTTCCTCTTTAACAGAAAAACCGTTTTAAAAAGAAAAAAATAAAAGTGGATTAAAGGGTGGTGAACCCCACCTGTCTTAATTCGACAAAGACTCCCCTATATTACATTCTTTAGCGTCAAACCAACTGAGAATTAATTGCATTCAATTGCATTAAATGTTAAAAAGATAAAAGTTGCTTTTTATATCACTTTGAACATTGCTTTAATAATTTATTTCAATGTGAAAAAAAAAAATTTTTTTTTTAATATTTAATGTTTAATATAAAAAAATATTTTTTTGCCATTCACGCGAACGTAATTTTACGAAAGGAATTAATTTTAATTTGCATTTGTGAGGTATAATTGATATTCTCTGTATCCGAGTGTTGGAATTAGAAGCGTTTTTTTGGGGAAGAGAAAACGGGGAAAAAGTAATACTAATTACAGGCAGTGTTATTTTAACAGAGGAAACAAACTACACTAGTCATTTCATCATCGTGGCTTAAATAACTTGTACTTGAGCCACGTCACGTTCTTAATTATCTAGAGTGTGTCTTTTTGTTCGTTTGACGAGTTCTCTCGCTCTGACTCAGCTTGCTAGCCAATATATTTTACAAACACAAACTTTATACTTAACTTTAAGTTTGCCGACTTTAAACATGAGTCTGAAGAAAATTTTACTGGATGAACCAATTCCGATATTTATTTTAATTACTTAAATTATTAATTTTGAAACTCTCTTAAGTAATTATTTATCGATCTATATTTTTTGGATATAAAATGAAAACATTACGATTGGTGATGATGCTTTACTTAATTCGAATGAAATTGAAGAAAAATTTTGATAGGATGGAGAAATTAATTTTCAAACATGTTGATACATTAGTGATGATCTAATGATATTACCCGAGAAATAATTTTCTGGTCTGTTTGTGTATGACCATATCAGATTATGTATGAAAATAAAAACTAAATTTATATATTGTTCTAAAAATATGTCCGTCAATTAACATGTCAAAAAAAATGTCAGGTAAGCTCCATAGAAAGGTAAAAAAATTCAGTTTTTGAAATCTTTTATTGATATCATTTTATTGATACAAAAGTTTTTATAATTTACTAGCCGTTTTCCGCCCGCTTCGCTGGGCGAATTGAATAAGGGAATAAATTAAATCTTATGTTTCATTTTTAATTTTTTTTTTCATATTTTTATTATTCTCCTTTTTTTTTTTTTTATTTCTGTGTGAATATAAATATGCCCCACGGATAGAACTGTAAGCATCGATATTGTTTAGATTTGCACAAATTCCAAATTCCATCGAGTTAGCCTGTATCTTTCATCCATGTGATTTTTCTAGCTAATATTTATTATTGTAACTTTCAGTGTGCAATCATTATAAGATTTTCGTGGCTTTCTTCCAAAAATTAATAATGATTGACACGAAGAAAAAAATTTTAAATGAGCATTGAAAATTTTAGTTAAAGTCATTGCAAGTCTCATATGTGAAGTTGAAATCTGCCTAGGTTCAAGTGCGACGAATATTCTGTTAACTAAGATTTCCTCCGTGACATCAATTTTTTATAGTAAATTAATTGTTCATGTTTTTTATGAATTCTATTGAAATAAGTAGCTAAATTTCTTTTTCACATCTCAAGTGCTTGGAAAATGCATTCATTTTAATCTGTTACATTTTTGCGATCCCGCAATAAAAGAATTCATCGGTTATGTGATCTGCAAAAGTAAAATGAATGTAAAATTCTTAGTCCGTTGATTGGATAGCTACATGTAAAGTTAACTTTTGGAAACTTCTCAATGACTTTTTTCCGCTGCCAAAGAGACGATTGTTGTAAAAAAATACACGAATATCCCCACATACACGAAGATTCTCACCAAATTTGGAGTCTGTAGAAGTTACAGGTTGGAAATTAAAATTTTAGATTTTAACACCCACCCCTGCAATTCCTGTCAGAAGTAGACTTTATTGAAATTTCATTTTGAGATGATCTTTACATGAATAATAAAAGATTCCTACCATATTTAAAATTTTTAGAAGATATATTTTGAAATTAAAATTTTTTATTAACACCTACCATTTGGAGTCTATAGGAGCTATAGTTTGGAAATTGAAAATTTTCATTGTTAACGCCCCCACAATCTTCTTTGGGGTGGGATATCGTAAAATTCGCTCATAAATCATTTTTACATCACTTATAGAAAATTCCTACAAAATTTGGAGCCTGTAGGAGCTTTAGCTGGAAAATAAAAAATTTTAATTCTTAATACCCGACCCCGCAACCCCCTGTGGGGTGAGCTATCGTAAAATTCGTTCATAGACTATTTCTACACCTCTTACAGAAGATTCCTATCAAATTTGAAGTCTATATATAGACTTCAAATTTTTTTTATTACATAAATTACAACTAAAAAGATATTTCTAAAAAATTGCACTTCTAGTTTTTAAAGTTTTTTAGATGTGACATTTTTTTTTTTAATTGTTAAATTGAAATTTTTTCAATAAAAAATTTCTAAAAGTTTTAAAATGTCGGTTAACTTCATTTTCATAAATTTATAACTCTGCTGCTTCACTTTTAAAACTATTTAAAACTATAAATTATTTTTTGATTTAATTATTAAAAATTTTTCACTTTCTTCCTTCCAATTATTTATAGCCGGTAATTGTTGATGTTTCGTTAAAATGTAAATGATAGAAAAAAAACATTTTTAAATAAATATTATTTACTGCAGTTGAGGAAATAAAAAAAAATTATTTTATAGGTTATGTTATAGGCATCAAACAGTTGATGAAAATAAATAAATTTATTTAAAATTTATTTTGTGTTAAGATTGACACTTAAGAAGTGTATGATTCTTTGCGCCCTCTTGTGGCGATATTTCAACATAATATTTGTGTTAATAAGGGGTTACTCAAAATTTGTGTTGAAATTTCAACACATATTTTGTGTCAACCGTTTTTAACACACAAACTGTGTTGATTTTACACAATATTTTTTACTGTGTAGGAGCTATAGTTTAAAAACGGGAATTGTTCATTGTTAACGCTCCCGCAATCCCCTTTGGGGGATGAATTTCTTAAAATTCGTTCTTAGCTGACCTCTACATAGCAAAAGTAATATTCCTACCAAGTTTCACGTTTCAATGGTTCCCGAGATTTCGTGACCGATTTATTAGAAAAAAAAATTAATAAAATTTTTAATCTAAAAATAAAAATATTTAATTAATGCTGTAAGATGAACGGCGGAGTTTATAAGAAAATTTGTTTTTCATCAGTTATTTCATTCGGTATAAATGGGAGGTGCGAGGGAGTGTGTGAGTAGATTCTTAGCTGAATGTAAAAGAACATAATCCGTTTAATATACTCCGTTGAAATCCATAAAAACAAAATAATCAAGAGAAAATGCGTGTCTTTTGTTTTTATTAGTGGAATAAATGTTCATAAAACTAACAATAAAGCATCATTAAATAAAATATAAACGTTTTGTGTACATATTTAAATACTTAAATTTGGAGGAATATTTTTAAAAAGTTGGCAGTGCTGGGCGATATAATTGCCGATAAATTTGTTTGCGTGTTTATGTATTCAGGCTTGTTGTTTGTTTTTGTAAGCAGGGGGACGAATGTCGAGATAGGAATATATATATATATATATATATAGATGACTTACAATGATTGGTCTTATTTGTCTTTGCGGACTCTAATCACTTTAACTAGTCTATATAATTTATATTTCAGATTGTTATGTTTGTTTTTTTTTTCGATATATATAATTTAATTATTAATGAAAAAAAATTAATAGGAAAAAAAAATTATTTCTATTTTAGAACTTGAAACCTTAAAAATTTAACTCAGTTGTAAGAAGACGATTCGGAGATCATATGCCCTCTGTAGGAAATTACTAACACTGCACATAGTTGAAAATAATGTATCAACATGTATGACTTTATAAGGTGCATATCAAACCATATCAGAAAATTTTCTCACGGGTATAATGTATTTTGTCCTAACTAAGTCAATTTGCGTGTAAAGTAAAAACAAGTTTCACTTGCAATCAAAGTTATAAAATAGTGACTGCACACACTAATAAAAAATAATACCAGAAAGAGGTAGAGCGCAGGTGGAGCTAGGTAAAATGAGTTTTGCAGCATGTGCGAAGAGAGATGATGTCAGATGATAGGGGGTGGTTTGAAGGCGGACCACGTAGAGCGTGTGAATCGGGGCGAGCGTTGGACTTAGCAGTGGTCAGCAGAATCAGAATGCTCGGAAGCTCATATAACGGGCACTCAACCGATTTTAAAGTGCCTCTAGTTCACCTGGAGTCAGACCAAAGCCAGTCTGCTATCACAGTTACGTTTCAGGTACATGCATGCACTTGCTATTATATCCAGACCAAAAGTGTGCACTCTGACACCCCAAACCACTGTACTTTATTCCTCACTGCCATTTTTTCTTAGTTAATGTTAATGTTAACTCCGCCAGCTTTCCTCTTTTTATACATCAAAAATCATTACTGCCTGCAACTCGCTTCAAATTATTTTTTTTGCCTTATATACTTATCTTTTATTACGGACTTTAATGACATCTCTACGTTATAAATTCATTTTTTTCATATAGGATTTGTACTTGGTGTTAAACGCATTTTTTATACAAGTTTAATATTACCCTGAGAAAGAGAAAAATCATTGTCTGAAAAGGGATTTCGTGGCTCAAAAGTTTGTTGAAATGAACCATTCAATTTATCAATTTCTTGATAAATTGATATCCTGTCTTCATTATGATAAGTAAACTTATGAATAACTCCATTTGAGTTTATTAAAAATGAAATTAATCAATTTGACTAATTTTTCAGACAATAAAATATATTCTCGATAATTATCAAAAATTTATATATTCTTGCGTCAAGAAAATTTTCGTAATAGTAGAATTTTTGTTCTCAATATACTTTTTTTTTTTATTAATAATTTGCAGCTTATTAATAAATTATCAGTACACAGAAAAAAAAGTCATCTTGAGTCAAGTAATATTTACTTGATCCAAGTATATTCAACTGAAGATAAAATATATTCTTGAGTTAAGTAAATTTTTTTCTTGTATTGGTCAATCTTGGCTTAAGCAAATATTCCTTAGTTCCAACAGGCTTACCAACTTAA